AAAAAAAAATCCTTTCTACTTATAAAGCATGATATTTTTAGTTCTCTTTTATTAATTTTAAAAATTTATAATGATTTATAGTGCATTATATTAACTTAGTAGGTAGTAACTAAAAAGACTGAAATAGTATAGGCCAAAAAAAAAAAAAATAGAAAATTTCAGAGTTTATCAGACACAGTGATAAAGATATTGTTTTACAAAACTTTTATTTTAGTTTTACAGATTGTACAGATCTTATGGGTGGCAACAAAATACAGTTCTTAAAGAGAGTGGTGGTCAAAAATTTTGTTGGCTGGATGCAGTGGCTCACACCTATAATCCTAGCACTCTGGGAGGCTGAGGCAGGTAGATAGCTTGAGCTCATGGGTTCAGCCTAAGCAAAAAGCAAGACCCCATCTCTAAAACTGAAGCAAGAGGATCGCTTGACCCCAAGAGTTATAGGTTGCTATGAGCTATGACAGCATGGCACTCTACTCAGGGGACAGCTTGAGACTCTGTCTCAAAAAACAAAAACAAAAATCTATTGTTTTAATAGGGATTGACAAACTTTTGCTAGAAAGGGCCACATAGTAAATTTTAGGTTTTGTGGGGCTATGTGGTCTCCGTCATAATTACTCAATTGTGCTATGCCAAAATTAGGTCACATAACTAGATCATTCTCTTAGTCCCTTGACAAAGAGAAATACTTTACCACATCCTCTAGGGGAACCACTGATTGTGTCTCACAGGATAATGAAATGCAAGTAGTCTCCTTAGAGGAGATCATTATCCCTTGCAAGGGATGTGAAAAAGTCACTTGTCAAGCTGGTCTGTGAACCAAGAGCACTGGGCATTCATATATAGCTGCATAATAAAATCTAGAAGTTTTCTTAAGTTAGTAATTATATTTTTCTAGTTGGGGGTCTATAGGTAGGGACAGAATAGGAAACAGCATGGATCTTAGACTGCAGCACATGTACCTGTGGAAAAGAATAGCTCTACCCTCTGCTGTAGGTGCTTACCATTATGATTCACTTGAAAAGGCAGTTTTGAAATTTATTTTTTTAGTTTCCTACTCCCCAGGTTCAGGGATGTGGGGGTTAGAGAAATACTGTCAGGGTTACTTGACAAAATGTTTTAATTACTAGCCTCTATTCATACAGTATGAGCACAGGTCAATATTCTGGCTCAGTAAGGCTAAAGGGTCTCAGTGCAGTTGAAATAGGAATAAGGTTTTCCACCTGAAATAATCTAGAGCATTAAAAGTGAAAAGGACAGTAAGTCAAAATCAACTTGGAAAAAACAAAGTTTGAATGACAGAAAACCAAGTCCAAATGACAGAATCAGTTGCCAGAGGAAGGAATCAGAGTGGGAACTACACAGAGATGGGACAGGTTAGCCTAGTTTAAGGAACCAGAGTGGAAAATATCTAATTCAGTATCTGGTATACAGTTAGGAGCAGTCGACTACTTGCTAAGATAACTAGGTAGAACATTGTAGGTGGTATGTCAGCAATAGGGAAGCTAACATGGTGGTGTTTGGTATTTTTATCAAGAAATTCTCTTTTTACTTTACTAAAAATAAATACTTTTATTCCTTTAAACAAAGCCATTAAAAGAATGCTTTAAAGAGTATAAAGGCAGCAAATCCAAGTTTTGGAATATTTAAAATATCTAAAATCTGAGAAGGGAATGTGGGTAAAATATTGGGGCTAGTATGGTAAAAGGGGAAAATGACACAGAAGGGTAACTTAAAAGCACTGTACTACAGAGCAGAACCAAGCCCATAGGAATACATGTCTTCAGGAGAATAAGGAAGAAGAGACTGCAGTATAGGAGAAAGTAAAAATACAGAGGGAGGGTAGAAGAGGTAAGACTAGTACATCACAAGCCAGGTGGAAGAAAACTTCAAGAGGGTAAAGTCAACACAATCAACTGGTTTTTTAGCCACCAGATTTGATTGGAAGGAAATTAGTGGTAATCTCCAAGAAAACAAGACTTTAGTAGCACAAGTAGGATTGGGTCATACCACAAAGGTGAATGAGAGAATTAGAAATGAAGCTGTGGGTTTGTAGACAAGTTTTAATAGTCTGATAAAAAGAAAAGAAAAGATGAGAAGTAGGTAAAAATATAAGGATTTTTAAAAAATTAAATAATAGCTGTGTACATTAATGCAGTCATGGGGTACAGTGTGCTGGTTTTATATACAATTTGAAATATTTTCATCAAACTGGTTAACATAGCCTTCATGGCATTTTCTTAGTTATTGTGTTAAGACATTTACAGTCTACATTTAGAAAGTTTCTAAACTTTTGTAAGGTGCACTTTTCTAAAGTTTCTAAACTTTTGTCAGGTGCACCATAGGCTTGGTCCCATCAATCACCCTCCCTCCACCCACCCACCCCCCTCCCCTCCCCTCCCTCTCCACTTTCCCCATATTCTTGGGCTATAATTCAGTTATAGCTTTCATATGAAAGCTATAAATTAGTTTCATAGTAGGGCTGAGTATACTGGATACTTTTTCTTCCATTCTTGAAATACTATGCTCAGAAGAATATGTTCCAGCTCCATCCATGTAAACATGAAGGAGGTAAAATCTCCATCTTTCTTTAAGGCTGCATAATATTCCATGGTGTACATATACCACAGTTTATTGATCTACTCATGGGTCAATGGGAAAAAGGATTTTTGATATGTAAAAGAAAAGATTACTGAGAGAGGATGTATGAATAAAAAATAAAAAGAAAATGCTATGTGGAGATCAACATCAGGTATTTATAGGTGTTCAAACTAGTACCTTCAAAATAACCTTTGTCTTGTGTTAATTTTTTCATCATAAGTACATATTATCAGTTCAATCAGAAAATATAAAACAGCCATTTCCACTTAGGCAAAAAAATCAAATATGAATTGAATTACTTCAAAGAGCTCTCAGTATTCTTTAATCTCAGAGGGAGATTTCTGGAGCACACTCAATCATTAAGTATTTTAGAAGTGACTCTTTTCCCTTAACAAACAGCAATGCCCATATGCTTGCCTCTTACCTGGATGAGTGTCCAGTGGGCTGTTTTTTTCTAGCATCCATTGCTCCTCTTGCTCCAATTGAGCAATTACCTCTGGTTTATAAAGTTGATGACCTATTCATGGGGAAAATATATGCCTTAGGAATTTATACTGGGAACAAAAATCTCTCTCAGAACCCATTCCCCACCTTCTTTGTCTTTAGGGCCTTTGGATTTGGAAAGGGGAGGGAAGGGTTCAGAGGCAGCCAAATAAAGGTACCTATTTGAAATTCAACAAAGTCAAGATCAGGAAACTGAAAGAGGATGTATGAATAAAGGTTTCTGTAGCAGAAAGGTTTCTGTCTACAGAACTGATAATTTGTATTCTGTCCTGGCCTAAATATTAAATATATTCACAAAAGCTTTGGAAGTTTATACTACTTAAGGAAATAAACCCATGTGAATAGTTTCCAATTTCACAGGAATACCATCCTACCTAGTGCAACTAGATTCCTGTAGTTCTCCAGCATCACATCTCGGTAGAGGCTCTTCTGTGCAGGGTACAGTTGGTCCCACTCCTCTCTGGTGAAGTCCACAGCAACATCCTGGAATGTCAGTGATTCCTGAAACATCAAAGACAACCAGATCAGCCAGAAACTATTCTTACAGGGGACCTCAGGGGAAGGGGATAAAAGTGCAGCACTAGACAAGGGTCAGGATGTC